CCAGGAACATCCAACCTGAAATCTTCACACTGGCCTAACAACCCATTGGCATCTCACCCTCTTGGCCACACGCAGCATCTCCCACTGGGTCCATTCCTTAAGCATCTTCTGCCTCCTGGTGCCCATTCCCCTCCACCAGCCCACATCACAGCCCCGGGCAATGCAGCCACTCTGAGCGTTAGCTTCCTTTTTCCGTGCAAAGGAAGCAAGACCATCTTGAGAACCTCGCTAAGTGAGGTGCCACAAAAGCGCCCTGCTGAGTTCTGGGCTCCAGCTGCCCCATCACTCCCTCTCCCTGCCACCCCACAGGTCATCATGGAAGCCTGGGTGAAGGGTGTGAACCCCAAAGGCAACTCCACCAACCCCAGCAACTGGGACTTTGGCAGCAGTTTCTTCTTTGCAGGCACGGTCGTCACTACCATAGGTAAAGGGCCGGGTGAAGAGGGGCTCCCCCTGTCTCGGTTTGGGTTCCCCGAAAGCAGATGCTGAGGCAAGGATGTGGCTCCTCTGGGAGGTGATTTCAGGAAGCCCCAGTGGAGACGTGGGGAAGTGAAACAAGGAGGAAAGGCAATAAAGTTTGCATCAGTGAGCAGGTTGCTGGGCAGGGCCACTGGGCTCACTCCAGACCCTCTGAGAGGCGAGGTGGAGCCCATCCTCAGAGCAGCCCCCGCGAGGGGCGAGAAAGCAGGGCAGTGTGTCTCCTCACTCCTGCCCTGGCTGGCTGAGAGCGAATCCTGGATGCATTAACTCTCCAGCACTTGGACCTGCCCACGGACCAAGGGGACTCTTGCTGCTGAAAAATCTCTCAGGGACAAGATGCAGGGACTAGGAGGGAAGCCATCTGCATGCACAGGAACTGTCTACAGGCTGCAGGTGCTGTGCCAGGGGTCCCAAGGGGACAGGACACTGGGGGTGTCTGCTACACCCCTCAGCCAGAAACTCCACTCCGATCCTGCAGGGAAACCCTGGACCCTCACTAACCCCATCTATTCAATTAAGACCAATTAGGTCCAACGCCTTCTTTGAGCTCTGGTGACAGGGAAGACAGAGAAAGGAGTGAGGGGGGCGGGGTTCATACAAACTTGGGTCAGACCCTGACTCAGCCCTCAAGGAGCTTCCAATCCAGTGAAGAGGGATACGATAAACACCAAAAATAATAGCGCCAAGCAGAGTAGATAAGTAGGTAGGAATGACACAAAGCACTGTGGGAAATCAGACCTACTAGGAAGGTGAAGGGTGGTCATCAGGAGGGCTTCCTAGAGGAAGTGTCATTTAAGATGGGCCTTGAAAGACAAGCAGGAGTCTTATAAATAGGGATCATCCTAACAGAGAATGAGATGAGTGTTCACTTGACCAGGGGAGCTTCCCCTCCTCCCCCAGCGGCAGGGGGAGACTGCCCACCTCTGCTGGCGTCTGTGGGGGAGGCAGTTCTGAGCTCTCTTCCCCACACCTCACTCCTCCTCCCCTGCAGGCTATGGGAACCTGGCCCCCAGCACCGAGGCAGGCCAGGTCTTCTGTGTCTTCTACGCCCTGGTGGGCATCCCCCTCAACGTGATCTTCCTCAACCACCTGGGCACAGGGCTTCGAGGCCACCTGACCACACTGGAGAGGTGGGAGGACCAGCCCCGACGTTCCCAGGTAGGTCCCACCCTCCCGCCAGCAGGTATTAGGTAGGCACTGGTGGAAGAAAAGGATTGGGCAGAGGGAGAGGTTGGATGCCATGTTGGGCAGATTGGCCAACCCCTCCTGGAGCTCTGCAGCATGTACGGGCTGTCGGAGGTGTCCCACAGCAGGCTGAAATGATCAGGACTTTTTTTTAAAATATATTTTTATTGATTTCAGAGAGAGAGAGAGAGAGAGAGAGAGAGAGAGAGAGAGAGAGAGAGAGAGAGAAATAGTAACATCAATGATGAGAGAGAATCATTGATTGACTGCCTCCTGCATGCCCACACTGGGGATCGAGCCTGCAACCCAGGCATGTGCCCTGACTGGGAATTAAACCACGGCCTCCTGGTTCATAGGTTGATGTTCAACCACTGAGCCATGCCAGCTGGGCATGACCAGGACTTTACACCCCTGTAGCTGCCACACATCCTGAAGGAGATGACAGCTGGATGCCACCTGCTGACAGCTGGTCAACATGGCACACCTCCATGGCCATCACAGAACTCCAGCAAACTCCAGGCCACCCGGCATGCCCCAGTGCCCACCCCACTGGCCAGTCCTTTGCAAAGCCAGGCGCACTAGGAGGACAAGGGTGCGGAGGAAGCTGAGACGTTTCAGTGACAGTGCTCTGTCCCAGATCTGAGGCCTGGGGGACCTGTACTAGCCCAGAGGAATCTCCTAATTCCAATGGACCCACCAATGCAGTCCCTCTGACCGGATCTTCCCCTGACATGGAGATCCAGGCCCCACCCCAAAGGTCTGCAGGGCAGAAAAGGGACCGAGCTGTGACCCAGTCCCATTCCAAATTTCCCCAGACTCTCCCCCCATACAGTCCTGGGGTCTCCCAGGTGGACTCAGAGATGGACTCCCTCCCTCCTTCCCTCCCTCCAGGTACTGCAGGTGCTGGGCCTGGCTCTGTTCCTGACCCTGGGGACGCTGGTCATTCTCATTTTCCCGCCCATGGTCTTCAGCCACGTGGAGGGCTGGAGCTTCAGTGAGGGCTTCTACTTTGCCTTCATCACTCTCAGCACCATTGGCTTCGGGGACTATGTTGTCGGTGAGAACAAGGCCTTCAATATCTCAGAGTCAGGGTCACCGGGATCGGGGGGTGGGGAGGTGTCAGCGGGGGTGACCACGGAGGATCAGATGGCCCCTGGTTTTTTGGAGATGAATGATTTCTGAGGCTGCTGCAAATTCTCACATCCTCAGAAGCTGCTGGTCTGGAATCCATATCCTTCCCCCAGAGCCCTCCATTGCTAATCCTTGTTATGGGGAGCTGGCAGGGCCTCAATGGACCCTGGGGGAGGGGGGGCAGGGAGTGGCTGTGCCCTCAGATCCCTGGCATTTATCACATTCCCTTCCCGGTCAGGCACAGACCCCAGCAAGCATTACATCTCGGTGTACCGGAGCCTGGCGGCCATCTGGATCCTCCTGGGCCTGGCGTGGCTGGCGCTGGTCCTCCCACTGGGTCCCCTGCTTCTGCACAGGTGCTCTCAGCTCTGGCTGCTCAGCAGGGGCCTCCGCCTCAAGGAAGGGGGCATTCCTGAGGCCAATGGGCTCCCCAGACCTCAGAAGATCCCCACCTCTGCATAAGCCTCCCCCCACCCCAGTGGCCCGAAGAGCCCCTCTCAGCTTCCCCCACCCTGTGCACGTGTTCTCTGGATTTCCCGCCCATCCCCTCCTCTCCCAGCCAGGGCTGATCTCAGGAGCTCACTGGAGAGAGAAAGGAGGGAGGAGTGTCCCAGAAAGTACCAGAATGGAGATGGGGCGACAGGATCAATGACGGATGGGTGTGAAGCGAGAGGTTGGCCATTGTCCCAGAGCCCCTGCCCTTTTCCCCTCGAAGGTGACCAGACATGGATCACTATGGCCAGAGCCCCACTGCCCTCCTCCCCGCCACTCCCCAGAGCCTCCTACAGGACAGCAAACAAAGGGTGGCTGTCCTCTGCCTCATTGGATACCTGCACGGCGTTCACTGGTCTGGCCCCGCGATGTGCCCGGCACTGAGTCAGGCTCTGGGAAGGTCCTGCCCTCCATGTCACTTAGTCAAGTGGAAGGACTAGCCAAGTAGAGGGGCAACCCCAACCCAGGGCCCAAAAGGCTATGACAAAGGCAAAGGGGGGCCCATGGGAACAGCTGGCAGGGAGGGAGGGGAGGGCAGGGGACTTGGGGCATCTCAGTGTAGACAGGATCTACCCTCAGGCAGCTGTGCTGAGGGGCGGGCAAGCGCCAGTGCCCTGGCCTGGAAGTCCGGAGCTGTCCGCGAGCAAGGCTTAGGAGGTCCGGGTGTCCGGCCCACTTTCCTGGGAATGGTCTCCCCTGACCCTCCCCCAGGGCACCCCTTGACCCCATCACCCACTCTGGGCTCCTGTCCTCTTAAGAGCATTTCCAAACATATTTCCCTGGGAACGTGGAGAGTCAGCAGATCCCAGGAGACGTCCACGAAATGAGCTCCATGGAGGCAAGGCCTCCCCTGGGGACCAGCTCTGCTGCCTGGCCTTTCTCCTGCCAGAAGGCCACACCTCCGGCCAGAGGAGAGGAGAGACTGAGGCCAGTCCCACCCAGGCCCTGCTCACCGAGGACTGCACACCTCAGCCCCAGCCTCTCCCAGGACCCCAAGCAAGGCAGGCCCTAAGTGGCCGGACCTCCGGACGGGCCTGAGGCGAGGCTGTGAAGCAGCGGATGCCCCAGGTGGGGCGCCCAGGGGAGCATCTACAGCAGCGCGACCCAGATTACATCCGGGGACTTCCTATTGAAGCTGAGGACCCCCTGGGACCCCTTACCACCAGGACCCTCCCTCCATTCTGGCTAGAGGAGGGAGTACAGTACGGGGCCTCCTCTGAAGTAGGGAGTGGACAACCCACTCACTGGTCAGGCCCCTCTGCCTCCCAGGCTCATGGACAGTGCTGACCAGCCCGGCCCTCATCTTTGGATGCACAGAGGGGAGGATGAGGGTGTGGGAGAGCAGGGAGGGCTTGAAGCAGCAGTCTTTGGGGATGGTCCCGGATCTCCAGGGGCTCAGGCAGGGGCCCTTAGAAAATAAACTTGGCTTCTACCTTCTCTTCCCCCTGAGTCTGGTCTCCCGCAGTCCCTCCCACTGTTCGCTACAGGACAGCTGAGGGCTCGGGGCCCTTCCTTCTCAGGGCCCGCAGCACCCCGCAGCCCTCCCCCTCTCCCTGAGCGGGGCTGGGGGGTGGGCACTCCCAACACGTCGGAGGCGGGGCCAGATGCCACAGCTCAGGCCTCTTTTTGTGCCCGGGATTGGATCCCCGGGGCGGGGTGGGGCACGCCTCCTCTGCTGAGAACACGGGGCACGGCGGCGGTTGGCCCGAGAAGGGACCAGCAGAGCGCGGCCCTTCCTCTCCACCTGGGTCCTGGCCATGGCTCCCCAGGCCGGCCGCCCTGTCTGTCCTACCATGTGCGGACCGCGAGCCCGGGCAGCGTCCGAGGGCAGGGCCCCGCGCTGTGCCCTGCCGGGCACCGTGCTCCTGCTCCTCGTCTACCTGGCTTACCTGGCCCTGGGCACCGGCGTGTTCTGGATGCTGGAGAGCCCCGCGGCGCAGGCCTCCAAGGCGAGGTTCAAGCGCGACAAGTGGGCGCTGCTGCGGAACTTCACGTGCCTGGACGGCCCGGCGCTGGACTCGCTGATCCGGGTCAGGGGAGAGCGGGGCCGGCGGGTGCGGCGGGGAGACCCGGGCAGGGGAGCGCGGGTGGCGGGCAGGGGGCGACAGGGCATACCCTGGCCCCGGCCAGGGAAACCCGGGGAGCATTTCTCCAAAGGGGTGGAGGCGATGGACGCGGGGATCACGCGGCCTCACGTGGGGGGGGGGGAGTGTTGGATGGACAGACAGACAGGAAAGTCCCCCGCTCATTCCCCCACCCCCGCTCCAGCCAGAGGGACGCGCCGCGCTGTGAGCACCTTAGGGGCCAGAGGGCGTGACCCGCCCTATGGAGAGAGGGCTTCGCGGCGCCAATGCCGAGCCTGGGGATGAGGACGACAGGGGGCGCGCCTACCTGGGTCAGGAGCTGCCAGGGCTCACCCCGTCGAATCAGAACCAGGCCAGGGTGCTCTCAGCCGGCTGGGGAGGTGGCGGGAGGGGGTGGGACTGGGACCGGGTGGCACTGCGTTGGGGTCGGACCTGCAGGCGAAGGACTGAAGGGCGCGCCCAGGCCCTTCCACAGAGAGACCCCGGGTGCAAATATTCGCATTAGGGGCGAGGGCGCAGGGGGTGCTGGGCGGAGTCTAAGGAGGAAAGGGACCTCGGTCAGGGCCTGCGGGGGAGGGGAAGGGGCTCAGGGCGCGCTCGCCAGCGCCCGGGTCCTAGAGAAGGAGGGGTGGGTGCAGGGGCGCTCTTTAGCTGACTTCTGGTTACCCGGAGCTATTGGACAGGGGCTGGGCAGCCTCCCCAGCCCAGGGACCTGGGAGAGCCCCAAGGGGAAGAGGGGCGGGGACGCAGGGGTTCCTGAGGACCGAGACTGCTCAGAGGATGGGGGCCGAGCGGGGCTTGCCCAGGGGGAGCAGGGTCGGGTTCTTGGGCCGAGGCATGGAGGATGGACCCAGGTCTTCTCCACCTCAGGGCAGGCTACCTGGACTCGGAGTTGCTGGGATTTGAGGGCTGCATTAGCATCCCGAGCCCTGGCTTGATCCCAAGCGCAGACAGCTGCACATCTCGCCTGAAATCCCCTCCGGGAGGGCAGCCTGCATCCTGGCCATTGGGCTGGGAGGAGTCCTGAGCCCTTGGCCTGGGCCTCAGCGGGGCCTGGAGCTGGGCAGGGGAAGGACTTTCTCTGCTAAGGACCTAATGTAGCACCTCCACCTCCCACCTCTAAACCCCTATGAGCACAGCCCTCTGCCTGGTCCTGGAGGCGGCCGCACTCCCCTGGCCGGGAGGTGAGCTCCCCTGGGCCTGGAACGGGACAGTGATGAGATGGCGATGATGCTAATGCCTCTGTGTAGCACTTCCTGCGCGCCCAGCACTGTCCCTAGTGTGGTACCTGGTTTCGTCCTCACCTACCTCACCGGCGGGTTCCATTATATCATCCCATTTTAGAGCCGAGGAAGCAGAGGCTCGGGGAGGCTGGCACACACGCGTGCCACAGAGCCAGGAAGCCCAGTGTGCGTCTGTGGGTGTGGGTGTTCCCGAGGTCCCCGCAGGGCTCCCCTCTCTGTGCACTCCCCCTCCACACCTCCACTCAGCCCTCCTCCGGCTTCATCCCCAGGAAGAAGGGTAGGATGTCTCCAACCCAGATCTCCCCTGGGTGCAGACCTGTACATGCAGCTCCCTAGCAGCCCTGAAGTTCCTCCACGGTCAAGAGCAGGTGGCCCTCCTCCCAGCCCTCCTCCTCCACTGGCCTCCCATCCACACGGCTCACAGGGCCTTAGATGCTTCCCGCACTGCCCACACCAAATAGGGCCAGAGGCTTGGGCTTCTGACGAGCTCCTCTCTGCTCCCCCTGGACCACTCTGTGCCAGGATGCAGGCCAGGCCGCTCCAGCACTCAGCCCCGCGGCAGGCTTTCTGCTTCCGGTCTGCCAGCACCTTCTGTACTGCCCGCTGTCATAGAGCACACAACCTGATCTTTCCTCGCCTTTGCTCAGCAGCCTTGGGAGAGGCCTGTCACTCTTTCTCTGGCAGGCAGACCAAGTAAGGCCTGGCTCCCGACAACCTTTCGGTCTCCCTATTTGAGATCCCAGGTGCAGTCCTGCCTGCCAGCTACCAAAATGTCCTTCTGCTGGGAGCAATCCATCTGACCCTCAAGGAAGGCCCAGCTACAGCATCACCCCTCTGTGAAGCCTCCGCCCCTCCCCCATCAGAATGAGCCCCGTTTCTCTCTGTATTCCTTTGGCACTGTGTTCGTAGCAGTAAGGATGACAGCCGACACTAACATGTGCCCTGTCCACGTACTGGCCTCCATCTTTACATCTAGTGCCTCATTTAACCCGCACCACAGTCCTATGAAGTCGGTGCTGTTAGTGTTCCCACTTTGCAGATAGGGAAACTGAGGCACGGAGCTAAGTGTCTTGCCCAGGATCGTGCAGCTGCACTGCCCTTAAAGCTGCATTGACTGCAGTGCATTGTCTCCATCCCACTGAGGACTGAGGTCATGTCTCTTTCATCTCCATGTCCCCCAAAACACCACAGGTCATGTCTGGCCAGTGCTTGTTGCAAGAATGGGAGTGAGTAGGAAAGAAAATGAATGGTGTTCTTCCAACCAGTGAGATATCCTGCGATGGCCTGGGTCCCGGGGGCAAGGGGAGGGAGGGAGCCGTCCCCAGGGTCCCTGCCCCAGGGGAGCCCCTGGTTGGAGGGCCTCCTGGCCCGGGCCAGTCTGGGCTCAGAGTGGTTGTGAGGATTGTCCATGCATGTGTGTGTGTGTACACGTGTGTGTGTACACATGCACATGTATGTGGGTCTGGGTGCAGGAGTCCAGTCACCTCAGAGCCTGGTGGTCACTGCAGCCTCTCCCCCAGGGCATCATCCATGCGTACCAAACTGGGGACATCGTCCTGGGCAACACCACCAGCATGGGGCGCTGGGAGATCGTGGGCTCCTTCTTCTTTTCCGTGTCCACCATCACCACCATCGGTAAGTGCGGGGGAGTAGGGGGGGCAGGTGAGCATGGCTGGCACAGTGGCCTCCCCATGAGGGACAGGGGACCAGTGCCTTTTGGAGGGGTGTCAGGGCCTCAGGACTCCCAGAGTGGGTGGTCCAGGCACTGTGGGCACCACCTGGGAGCAGAGCCCCGGGCTCACAGCAGATCTGCTGTACCAGGTTCTGCATTTCCCCAGGTTCCCCGGGAGTTGGTGTCAAGCTCAAGGTTGAGAAGCACCGCTCTAGGGGGCTTCTGTCTCACAAACCCCTCGGGAAGCAGGGGGTCTCCCCTGGGCAGAAGTAAAGATGCTCTGGGCCAAACCCACCCAACACTGAGCCCAGGGGTAGTTGGGGGTTTGGCGAGGGTTGTGGTGGGAAGTGAGGAAGACGGGGCAGGAATCCAAAACAGCCTTGCAATCCGTTCTTGCCTTTGGTGAGAAGTGGCCACTCCTGGAGGCCACTCCTCAGCTCACAAAGGCACTCCTTTAACCCTTCGCTCTCCTCTCCAAGCCCCCTGCCTCCCTCACCTGGGACACTGGGACAGATCCCTGCCTCCACCCAGTTTCCCTAGCCCCGCCCTCAGGAGAGCAGAGGTGGACCTTGTCCCAGGAGGGTGCCTGGGGGCTGTTGTGAGTGGAAGGTGAAGAGCAGCCTAGAGCCCCAGCTCTAGACCCAGGAAGTAAGTAAAGCGCCCCATCCCCCTGCCCTGGTGCCAGGCCCAGCCCCTGCATGACACAGGAGTCACCACCAGGTGGCAGGCTGACACCGCAGTGGCTCGGGCTACCTCCACCGGCCAGGATCCTCTCAGGAAGGCATGTCCCAGCCCCTGTCCTCCCAGACAGGAGCCAGGCCGCAGCACCCAGAGGGCTCTCCACCTAGTTTTAAATCGGCCAGTACTTCTTGGAAGCAGGCCTGAGGGCTACACGGGAGCTTGGCCAGCCCTCCACCTTGAGGCAAGCCTGCCTGGGGGCCCCTCAGGCTCCATGGGCCCTGTGCCTGGGGGATGATGCTTATTCATCTCTGAACCCCCAGGATCTAGCCCAAGGCCCAGTACTCAGTGAACACTCAACAGACGCTGACACACTCATTCCAAAGTACCCATTCCACCAGCACCAATGGAGTTCCAGGACGGGGGAGGTGGAGGCACAGTCACAGGTGTAGGGGTCTTAAGTCTCTGAACCCCACACCTCCCCCACCCTCTGCCCCAGGCCTGTGACTTTGGCCCCTGGGTTCAGGAATTTGCAGCCTATCTCTTCCCAGCCCTGCGGTGCTGAGCCTGGTCTGTGTCCCTGTCCATTTCTCTCCGCTCGGTTCCACTGCCTGAGTCTGCTCTGATGGGCAGAGGGCAGGGGAACGGGGACCGCGCCCCACCTTACCCTTACGGTCTAGTTCAGTGATGGCGAACCTATGACACGCATGTCAGAGGTGACACGCGAACTCATTTTTTTGGCTGATTTTTCTTTGTTAAATGGCATTTAAACATATAAAATAAATATCAAAAATATAAGTCTTTGTTTTACTATGGTTGCAAATATCAGAAAATTTCTGTATGTGACACGACACCACAGTTAAGTTAGGGTTTTTCAAAATGCTGACGAGCCTTTCAAAAAGGTTCGCCATCACTGCTCTAGTTTAACATTTGAGATTTTGTGCGTACGGTCCGACCTCCAAGACAGGGCTTCTATTTTCATGTTACAGATGAGGAGGCGGGGCACGGGGAGGCACACTGTCCCAAGGTCACGTGGCTAGGAAGCAGCAGAGCTGGCACTGGAGACCCAGCATTGCTCTTTCCAATGCCCCAGGACCAGCGTAGGGCTGCCCTTCCCAAGCCCTAGAATGAAACGGGGTCGGACAGGCACACGGCACTTCTGGGCCAGCAGGACCGGCCTGAGCCCGGAAACCGTGCATCACCTGTGAAGTCCATCCCCAGCTTGCTCATGTGTCCACGCATGCATCCACCCATTCATTTAACAAGAAGACGGCGTTCCTAGTGCGGGCCTGATAGCTCTAGGTGCTGGCGATACAAGGGCGCGCAGAACCGGCAAGTCCCTTCCCTTGGGGGTGCTGACACTCTACTGTGAGGGAACACAAACAAACTAACAAATGCACAGACAATATTCGGGTTTTAAGAGGTGCTTAGGGAAATATAAAGCCAGGTAAGGGGGTTCAATAGTGAAGGGGGGTGGAGACTACTGTACATGGGGTGGCCCTTGAAGCAGAAACCTAAACAAAATACAAGAGCAAGTCATGCAGATAACTGGGGACAGAACCTTCCACCAGCATGTGCAGAGGCCCTGGGTAGAGCGAGGCTGGTGTGTTTGGTGAACAGTAGGAGGCACAGATGGCTGGAGAGGGCTGGAACTGAGGACAGGGGAAGGGACAGGGGAGCCCAACCACGGAAGACCTTGCAGGGTGCTTGCAAAGTGTCTTAGGGCTGGACTACCGAAGTGAAAGAGGGACAGGTGGGAGACATGCTGATGTGAGAGGTGGCTTAGATGGGGCCATGGCCACCAAGCATTCAACGGGCAGGTGAGGGCTTCATCGATATCCATCAGTTCCGCAACCTGAGGGCTGGCTGAGAGGGATGGGGAGGAGAAAGCCTCTTTCGTATCGGCCTCGGGAAGGCACAGGCATCCACGGAGCTCCTCCCAGATCCGGAATCTAAAGGCTGCCATCCCACAGGATGAAAAGGTCAAACCCAGGAAGTGCCTCTGACTCCAACACTCATGCTCTAGACGAGTGCTCCCGCCTCTCCCGGGACCGTGCCTCTGAGACCCCTAAGTGAGGCGGAAGAGTGTAAACCTACAGTGCAAATGAGTGTGTGTGTGTGGGGCGGGCGGGGGGGTACTTTAAGCAGTGATGTGGGGCAGGGTGCAAGGCATCTGTTCATCTACTTACACATTCATTCCCATATTTCCAATTCACTCGCTCGTTCATTCATCCATTCTTGTACTCTTCCCACACACATATGGTGGGCTCCTACTGAGTGTCAATCCTGTGCCAATTGTCGAGAATATAAACATGATTACGACCCAGCCCCTGCCCCGAAGGGGCTCACGACCCTCAGGATGGGCAGACATGGGAATAAATCATTCTCAGGCAGTGAGTGGGTTATCCTCAAAGCCTGCAGAGTGTGTGGGCGCTGGGTGGGGGGGAGGGGGGGTGGGAGCCACTCCTCCACCAGACCATTTACAGGTGGGCTAGGAGGGGGGGGAAGTACACTCTTGGTAGGGGGGGGGATCATGTTCAAAGGCACAGGGCGAGGAGGGGTTTGGGGGTTCAGCGGGCAGGAGTGCAGCCCGAGCTGGGAAAGCAGGAGCCGGAGAAGGGCTAGGTGATCGTTTGGACTTTCCCCACAGACATGAGGAATAATACAGAATGATAACCTGGGGGTGATATCACCAGGTTTGTGTTTTAGAAAGACAAGACAGTGGTGACCAAGAATGGGGGAGACAGAGGCGGCGGGGAACAGAGGAGGAAAGAATGTCCAGGCTGACAGAATCCTTTAGGAGCACCTCACTCTCCCCTCGCCTCCCTTCCCTGATCTTCATGACAGAGTTCCCACCTCCACGCAGGTCCCCTGATGTGCATCCTCTGCCCTCACTCCCGAGGGGTTTGGGAAGGAACTGGGTGCGTTAGTTAGCGCCCTCTGGAAATCAGATAACAAGGCCAATCAGGTGTGCAAGAGATGTGGGGTGCGGGGGAGGGGGCGGGCTTTGAAAGATAGAGAGGAGCAGGAGAGATGGTGAGAGCCTCAAGCTGCAAAGCAGGTCTGAGACCTGTGACAGGAGAGAAGGAAGGAAGGGCATGAGGGGGGTGAGCACAGACTGCCGTGGGGCCCTGAGAGGCTCGGCCAGGAGAGGGGGGTCCCGAGCAAGATGGCCTGTTAGAGGAGGCCTGCATCGGACAGGCGCCGCCAGCTTGGGTGCCGGGACCCACCTGGGGACACAGCTTCAATGGTGCAGTGAATCCCAGAGGTGCAGGGGCTGGAGGCTCCAAGGCCTCCCACATCCCTGCACCCATTCCTCTGCCCACAGAGAGGGAGGAGGTGGAGAGAGGGGAGACGAGGCCCTCACATTCACGGGTTTGAGCTCATGCGCTTTGCTGAGCCTCCAGGAGCTTCAGTTTTCCAATCTGTACCACGTGGGCATAACCCCGTCTGGAAGGAGGGAGCAGGTGCCTAGGCACCCTGCACAAGCTGGATACACACCAGCTGCCATGTCTGAAGTGGGGTAGGAATAGGACCCCAGCGACAGAAGGGTCCCCTGATGTGCCCGTCTCCCCTCAGGCTACGGCAACCTGAGCCCCCACACGATGGCTGCCCGCCTCTTCTGCATCTTCTTTGCTCTGGTGGGGATCCCGCTCAACCTCGTGGTGCTCAACCACCTGGGGCACCTCATGCAGCAGGGTGTGCACCGCTGTGCCCGCAGGCTGGGGGGCGCCTGGCAGGTGAGGGCCCAGGGCAGCGGGGGAGGGGGGAGGGCCACTTGTGGAATGAGGGGTGTGCTGGCAACCGTGGCCATTGATCTAGCCCAATGAGATCACTGCCCCAGTGAGAGTCTCTGGTGGGAATGGGGGCTCTGGGGGTCGATGTTGGAAGAACCAGGAGTCAGGGTTACCGTGGGGATGTGGTAGATGGGGGGGGGGGTGTCACTGTCCAGAAGGGGTTTTTAGTAATAGAAGAGCTCCGTGGGGAGACACGGGGGGACTGGTAGACAGGAAGGGCCCAGGACTAAGGCCTTGGCTGGAAAGCTGGGGACACAGCCAGGTGGAGAGGCCCCGGGGGCAGCCCCCTCTCACTGCCTGCAGCTCAGGTGCCCCAGGCTGTCTGCTCCCGGCTGGACAGCAGGGGGCGCTGAGTGCTTCGTGGGGGCTGAGCGCTGTGTGCATCCCCAGGACCCGGCCAAGGCCCGCTGGCTGACGGGTTCGGGCACCCTCCTCTCGGGCCTCCTGCTCTTCCTGCTGCTGCCGCCCCTGCTCTTCTCCCACATGGAGGGCTGGAGCTACGTGGAAGGCTTCTACTTCGCCTTCATCACCCTCAGCACCGTGGGCTTCGGTGACTACGTGATCGGTGAGAGCCCCAGCAGCCAGGGGGAGAGGGGCCTGAGACTCCACGGCCTGGCCCTCCACTCGCCTGCCCCCCGGGCCGCGTCCCCTGGGTGCCTGCTGCAAACCAGGCCCCGTGGGGGCCTGACGCCCCAAGTCCTTGGCAGGTTAAACCCACCTTCCTTGTGTGAAGAGGCCAAGGTCACCCACCAAAAGGTGACAACTGGAGTCTGAACCAGCCTCAGGCTGTGGGTCGCACTCCTGGCCATCTGACAAGCACTGGGAGGGCCTCGCGTGTCCTCGGGCCCCACTCCCATTCTTGGAGCTCACCAGATAAGGGGAGTCCCTGAACCCCTCCCCATCTGTCCTTGTCCCAGGTCTCTCCTCCCCACCTCACCCCAACCCCTGAGACGCCAAGCTTCCCACAGTCCCTGGGCTGGGCCCAGGAGGGTCAGGCCAGAGTCGGGAGACTCGGGAACCCTGGCCCCCACAGGAAAACAATTGGCAGCCGCACTCTGAGCGCCAGCAAGAGTGGGCTGCGCGGTCCCAAGGGCCCAAGGTGGGGTTCAGTGTGTGATTTAGCCCCACGTGGGTCCCGGAAAACCGTGCATAATACAGCGGAGGCAGACGCCCAGCAGGTGGCAGGAGAGGACAGCCTGTGGGGCGGGCGGGCGGGCGGGCGGGGTGGCTCCCACAGCTGAACGGTCACAGGACGAGCCGTGGTTACTGGCACCAGCACCACGCTGGGCTCAGGGGGCTCAGTGCACGCGCTCGGGCCCCTGGACCTAAACTGGGGAGGAGGCCCTGCCCTCTGCCTCCTTTGGAGACAGAACCCAGCCTGGAACACTGAAATGACGTTTTACCAAGTAACAGTTCATCAGGCAGTCTAGAGCCATGAGTGCCACCCACTTTATCTATTGATTTACTATATATATATATATATATATATATATATATATATATATATATATATATATAATTGATTTTTTACAGAGAGCAAGGGAGAGGGATAGAGAGTCAGAAACATCGATGAGAGAGAAACATCGATCAGCTGATCTCCTGCACATCTCCTACTGGGGATGTGCCCACAACCAAGGTACATGCCCTTGACCGGAATCGAACCTGGGACCCTTCAGTCCACAGGCCGACGCTCTATCCACTGAGCAAAACCAGTTAGGGCTATCTATTGATTTTTTTATTGATATGAGAGAGAGAGAGAGAGAGAGAGAGAGAGAGAGAGAGAGAGAGAGAGAGAGGAGACATCAATCAGTTGACTCCTGCAGGTGCCACAACCTGGGCATGTGCCCTGAGCGGAATCAAACCCTCCACTTTTGGTGTATGGGACAACGCTCCAATCAGCTGAGCAACACGGGCCAGGACATATCACCCATTTTACTAAGGAGGAAACTGAGGCTCAGAGAGACCAAGCCACTTGCCTGAGATTACACAGCTAGTGAGATATCAATTCCGATCTGTTTAATTCCTTCCAGACCACCTCACACAGCCCCTCTCTGGGCCTCGGTGCTCCTAAGGTGTTGCCCCCACAGAGCACAGTGACGATGGCACATGGACTTGTACGTCTCTGTCTTGTCAGCACCCCCTCCCCCCTTGGCCCTTAGATTTCTAAAAATGACAAGCGCTACCTGGGTAGTGTGCTCAGTGGTTAGAGCATCGACCCTCAGACCGAAGGGTCATGGGTTTGATCCCCGTTCAAGGGCACAAATCTGGATTGCAGATTCCATCCCCAGCCCTAGTCGAGGCTCGTGAGGGAGGCAACCCATCAGTGTGTCCCTCTCACATTGATGTATCGCTCTTTCTCTCCCCCTCCCTCCCTCCCTCCCTCCCTTCCACGCTTTCTAAAAATAAAAGGGGAAAAATAAAAAATAAAAACGGCAAGTGCTATCACGTCACCTGCCCAGCTCCTCTGAAAACCTTTGCTTTTCCTCATAGTCTTAGGCTGGAGGACAAAATCCACGACCAGGCCTGTGGGAACCTCTCGGGGCCTGGGCCTGCCCTCCCCCTCTCCACACTGAGCCCTCTCCCTTCCTGCTGCCCCTGGGCCTCCCTGAAACAGGCTTCTGACAGCCGCAGCAGCCTCAGCCCAGGGCAGTGTGACCTGAAGGCCCTGCAGCAGCGCCTCCCCTCTCCCCGCCAGGGCTCAGAGGATGGGACAGGATGTGTCCCCAGCGATAGTCCTAAACCCAAAGGCTGGTGCTCTGAGGGAGCCCAGTGCAAGGGGAGGGCAGAAAAGTGGGAAGAGGACCCCAACTAGGGTGTGTTGTGGGCGGAGCTAACAGGGAAAGCCTATGTGGGGTTGGGGGGAACCCCTGAGGAAGTCCTGAGACCCCTGAGGTGGGTGGGGAGGAGGGGCAGCCCCCTCTGGACTTGGGCGCCCTGAAAATGGGAGACAAGGCCTCACCCCCATCAAGGGAGGGGCAGTGGCATTGGCATAGCGGTCTCTACAGGCTTGAGAAGGGCTGGGATCTCTGCTACCGTGAGCCACCCTGTGGGGAGTGCCAGGCAGGGATGTGGGCACAGACCTCCCGGAGCCCCTGCCACCCTGACTTAGAGGGGCAGCGGGCAGAGCCATCCCTTCACCACCTCTCCTGAGATTTGCTACTGTAGCCATTTCAGTGCCTGTGGCCAGTGACTACGCTGAGCCCTTGACTGCCCACCTGCAAGGGGAAACTGAGGCTGAGATGGGAAAGACCTTGATTAAGGTCATAGAGCAGGCAAGCCTAAGGCAGGTCTAGGGTAGACGCCCAAGGAGGGCTCCTCACATGCCTGTGTTCCAGAATCTTCCACAGCTGAGAAGGAACAAACCCCACTCTCCCTTTCCCGTGCCTCACAGCCTTCCTTATCTTCCAGGGACAAGGTCAATCCCCTGCCCTGGGTGGGAATGCTGAGGCCCACCGCCTGGACTGTGGGTGCCCGTGGTCCCTGCATCAGCAGCCCCGGGGCGCTGTCCCAGCTGCTCCTCTTAAGGCTGTGGTGGGCTGGGTCCCCAGGTCCCAGCTGCCTGCTCCTCTCTGGACCCGTAGCCCCCACAATTACATTTGCAACTCAGTTGAGCGCCTTGCCAGCTGCCAGGTGTCCTGTCACTTATGATTTCAGCTATAAAAAAAAAAAAAAATGAAATAAACTGGAGAGGAACACCTCCTCCCCAGCATTGCCAGGAGCAAGCTGAGCTGGCGGGTGGCAGGGCACGGAGCTGGCTCACCGCTGATCTCATTTGGGACCGCCGGCGGAATCATGGCCCCATAACCCAATCAGCCTAATCCAATCCCGGCTCCGGCCAGGCAGCGAGCTGGTTCCCGGGCTGCAGGCTCTTCCCCGGGGCCTAGGCCAGGGGCCTGGCTGTGAGGGGGCAGGACGGAGAGGTTGTCTTGGGCCAACAGGACAGGAGGGGGTGGTCAGGGGGTGGTGCGGGAGCTAAGACAGAGAAGATGTCACGGAAGTAGGAGGACAGAGCATCTTTTGAATGATCCCAGTCTATTGAGGGAGGCAAGACGGACCCCAGGAAACAGACAGCGGGAAGAACTGAGTTACAGAGCAAGACTTACCTAAGCCTCACAGCAACCCCCCGCACCCCCTCCCTCAGGTGTTACCTATCCAGTCCTGTCTGTGTTGGGAACCCCAGTGTGGGGACCCAGTGGTGAGTGAACCCATCACCCAACAACAGGGAACAATGCACCACCCTGTTCCAGGCACCATTCTGAGCATTTAGATGCATGAACCCATGTGGTAGTCACAACGGTCTGAAAAGGTGGACACCCTCATTGCCTCCATTTTATAGATGAGGACACTGAGGCCCAGAGGTGATAAGTAACTTCCCCGACAAAACCACAGGCACTGAGAGGTCTTAGCAGAGGGGCCCAGCCTAGTCTTTGGGGAGTGACATCTGAACTGATATCTGGGGAAGACAACCAGGCCAAGAAGAAATTTTTAAAAAAATATTTTTTTATTGATTTCAGAGAGGAAGAGAGAGGGAAGGAGATAAAAACATCAACCCTAGCTGGTTTGGCTCAGTGGATAGAGTGTCGGCCTGCAGACTAAAGGGTCTCAGGTTTGATTCCGGTCAAGGGCACATGCCCGCATTGCGGGCTCAACCCCCAGTAGGGGGCATGCAGGAGGCAGCCGATCAATGATTCTCATCATTGATGTTTTTATCTCTCCCTCTCCCTTCCTCTCTGAAATCAATAAAAATGTATATATTTTTTAAAATCAATGATGAGAGAGAATCATTTATTGGCTGCCTCCTATATGCCCCCCACTGGGGATCAAGCCCACAACGGGGCATGTGCCCTTGATAGGAATCTAATCCGGGACCCTTCAGTCTGCAGGCCGGCGCTCTATCCACTGAGCCAAACCAGCTAGGGCCAAGAAGAATTTGAAATGAAGAACACTCTGAGCCTAGGGGGCAGTAAGTGCAAAGGTCCTGGGGCAGGAAAGATGATAGATGAAGACTTGGGAAGAAGACCACAATTCTCAAAGGGGAGAAGTGTGCAAATCGAGGCTGGAGAAGTAAATGGTGGCCTTGAGATAACAGGACTTCACCCGAAAGCCCAGGGGGAGAAGTTATTTTCCCCATGTCCCAGGTGAGGGACAGTCAGGCAGATGAAGGTCACACAGCCAGGAAGAACGGAGGCAGGAAACAAACTCCAGCGGTTCCATCTGTTCTTCCTAAAGGCCCTGGCAATCTGCCTCCCTTCAGATATGAGAAAACCACACAGAGACACGCGAACAGCAGATCAGACCTCAGGATCTCTTGGAGGGCTTCGTGAAAACGCAGATGCGGGGCCCACCCCAGACGTTCCTGGTTCAGTAAGTCTGGAGTGGGGCCCAATCATTTGCATTCCTCACAAGCTCTCAGGTGGTGCTGATGCTGGAATAGAGCACAGAGTGCCTTAGACAAAGAGGAACTGTCGTTCCCAAACCCCCGGTGCCAATCCAGGGGGGCTTCCTGGATGCTCTCAGAGGTGACCGCCAGGCCAGCGGTCTCGGACCAGTTTGGATTTCCCATATTCTGCTCGTCCGTGTCAAGCCATGTCTGCCCATTTCTGTTTGGGGAACTTGGCCCTGACTTTCCCAGGACTCCAGCCTCTGACCTTGCCTCTCCCCTAGGGATGGACCCCTCCCGGCAGTACCCACTGTGGTACAAGAACACAGTGTCCCTGTGGATCCTCTTCGGGATGGCGTGGCTGGCCCTGATCATCAAACTGATCTTCTCCCTGATGGAGACCCGGGGGAGATCATATTCCTGCTACCACCACAGCTCCAAGGGGGACTTCAGGCCCCGAAGCTGGAGGCAGGGCCCAGAGGGAGAGGCAGAGCGCCACTCCCCAGGGCCAGGCTGCTACCCGGAGGGGTCTGTGGGAGCCAGGCAGCCTTCGGAACCCTCGACTCAGGTCTCACGCTGTGGAAGGGAGCGCTAGTTATACTCCAGGGTTTGTCCCACCTTCATTCTCAGTAGCAAGACCCCTTATTTTAATCTTGGTGCAGGGCCACCCAGACGAAAGACTACATTTTTTATGTCTTCTTTTGAGACTAGGTGCAGCTTTGTGACCAAATTCTGCCCAATAGGGTCCATAAGAAGTATCCTGTGTGGCTTCAATGCTGGGGTGGGGGGGAGGGGGAAAGCTGTAGGGAGCAGCTCTAGGGTCAAGCCTCGGGCTGACCTGTGGCAGGGCCACAAACAAGTCCCAGCCTGGAGGGCAGGGCTCTCCTAGCATAATCAAGCCTGACCTTGTAGCCCTCCCTAATTCCTTCCTAAGAAGCTAATGGGCTGTGGGAGGTGCAGCAAGTGTTGCCAAAACAAGAACGTTTGTATACCTGTTAATCTACCCTTGTTTTAATCAGACTATAAAATAAAGCATTGTCTTGAAGTCTGGGTCTTTTGTGTCCTCATTCAGGCACGGGAGACCTACCAAGCCCCAGCTGTATTCTCTTATCTGTCTTTTCTTCAATCCATCACCACCCCTTCTCAGGTTCACCCTTGGCTGTGCTGGCACAGTACAGGGGGCAATGTGTGTTCTTCTTCCCTAGTTCCTTTTTTTTAAAATTCTTTATTGTTTAAAGTGTTACATGTGTCTCCTTTTCCCCCCATTGATCTCTCCCTGGCTGTTCCCACCCCCCAGCACATGCCATCATACCCCTACTGTCTGTGTCCATGGGCCATGCCCATATGCATGCATACAAGTCCTTTGGTTGATCTCTTCCCCGCCCCCGCCCTTGCCCCTGCCTTCCTTCTGAGGTTTGGCGATTTGTTTGATTCTTCCCGGTCACTGGATCTATTTTAGTTCATCAGTTTATGTTGTTCATTATATTCCACAAATGAGTGAGATCATGTGATATTTATCTTTCTCTGACTGGCTTATTTTGCTTAGTATACTTCTCTCCAGGTCTATACATGCCTTTGCAAATGGTAAGAGTTCCTTCTTTTTTATAGCAGCATAGTATTCCATCGTGTAGATGTACCACAGTTTTCTAATCCATTCATCTACTGATGGGCACTTAGGCTGTTTCCAGATCTTAGCTATGGTGAATTGTGCTGCTATAAACATAGGGGTGCATAAGTCCTTTCTGATTGGTGTTTCTGGTTTCTTGGGATATATTCCTAGTAGTGGGATTACTGGGTCAAATGGGAGTTCCATTTTTAATTTTTTGAGGAAACTCCATATCGTTTTCCATAGTGGCTGCACCAGTCTGCATTCCCACCAGCAGTGCACGAGGGTTCCTTTTTCTCCGAATCCTTGCCAGCATTTGTCATTTGTTGACTTGTTGATGATAGCCATTCTGACAGGTGTGAGATGGTACCTCGTTGTCATTTTGATTTGCATCTTTCAGATGATTAGTGACTTGAGCATGTTTTCATATGCCTTTTTTTTAACCCTCACCTAAGGTTATGTTTTTATTGATTTTAGAGAGAGAGAAAGAGAGAAACATCGATTGGTTGCCTCCTGCACATCCCCTGACCAGGGATTGAATCCAAAACCTAGGTATGTGCACTGACCAGGAATCAAACGCATCATCTTTTTAGTATATGGACGATGCTCCAACCAACTGAGCCACCTGGCCAGGGCCCCACTTTGTGTGTGTTTTTTGTTTGTTGGTTTGTTTGTTTGTTAATCCTCACCCAAGGATATTTTTCCAATGATTTTTTAGAGAGAGTGGAAGTGAGGGGAAGAGAGAAACAGGGATTGTTTGCCTCCTAATTGAGCCTGCAATGTGCCCTGGACTGGAATCAAACCCGAGACCTTTCAGTCCGAGGGCCAGCGCTCTCTCCACTGAGCCAAACCGGCCAGGGCCTCACTTCATTTTTTCAGCTGGTTGCAATGCTGGTATCGTGGCTGCAGCTCTGGCAGCCCACTGCACCATGAGGTAGAGGCCATGTCTGATATAGGTGGCCCAGTAAAATAGGAAGAGCTTGGATCCCTGATGGTTACAGAGCACCGTAACAAACCTGGACTAAATACCACCGGACGTCACCCATGTGATAGAGACATAAATGCTATCTTATTTGAAACACTTTTTGTGGGGTTTCTCTGACACAAATAAAGCTGATTTAATTGTCACACACATACCCAGGGATAAAGGCAGCATCGGAGATGGGAGCATGCTCAGGAAACCACCTCCTCCCAGTGAGCTCCCGGGGCTGGTGGAAGGAGTGGACTGAGGGCTGGAGTATGGCCCTCCACCTCCACAGACCATCCAGGTGAACGCGCTCAAGATTTGCTGAGTGCTCTCCCTGCTGGTACAGCCAGCAGGTGCTTGGTCCCAGTGGGGCTGCGGCTCCAAGCTCAGTCGTTCACTCACACCACGGAAAAGCCAGGGGCAGACCCATAGGGTCCTCCTGCCTCCCCCGGCCCCACTGCCTGGGAAGGCTCTGACCACAGATTGCAAAGCCTGGTAGGGTTTGCAGAGGTCACTTCTGTTTGCAGAGCATCTTACTTGAGCATTTCCATCTCTCACCCAGGATGGCTACCATTTGGAACATAATGGTGTGTTCCGCACCACACCCGGGTCCCCAAACCCAGCCAGCACCTGAGGGTTACCTGGGCAGCTGGATTCCTGGTCTCTGCTCCCGTCCACCGTCCTACAGATAGCATCACAGGGGCCAGGGGCTCCTGTGGCCCCTCCCTGTGGGAAAACCCTTTAGCATCAGGGCCCTCCTGAACTGGGCTGTGGACAAAGCTTGCGCCATCTGGCCTGGGCCTACGTGGGACTAAGGCCAGGACCAGGGACAAACACCAGTGAGTAACAAGGCCCATGCCCACTGCCTAGGGCCCACAGGCTGCGCAGAGGTAACCGGAGGTGAGGAAGAGATCGCTGAAGGTATGGAAGTGGCATCCTTTGTATGTAACACACTCCAGAAAGAGGACCTCGTCATTCAAGGCCGGGGGAGAGAGAGGCCCGTGTGCTGGGTTGGCCTCTGTGTCTCAGCTCACCTTGAGCACGTCCTCCTCGTGCCTGGCCTTTCTAGACAGGGTCCCTGTTCCCCATCAAACCCTTCGCCCTATGCACACCCCTACTCTGTTCAGAATGCCTGCCCCAGAGGGAACCAACCTGCAGTGTTGGGGTGGGGCAGAGGAAGGCTTCTGATTGGCCAGTTCCTTGCAGATGTCTGCTCCACAGCCAATGAGAAGAGCCGCTGCAACTGTCTTAAAACCCCACAAAGTGGGGAGGGATAGGTGAATAGTGGGGGGCGTGGAGATCATAAGAAGCCTGTTTGGAGCTACCTGGAGAGGCCTGAGCCTGGGAAGGCACAAGAACAGAGACTCCACCTCTGGACAGAAACCACAGAACAAAGCGGGCAGGGAGCGCTTTCCCCCACCAGCGAGAGGGAGGGGTGGGATGGTAATGACATGATAAGGGCAGCCTGGGAAAGCTGTCCTATGGGTGCCGGCCAGGAACCAAGGCGTTCATTGCATTCGTTCACACAGCCTCGGCCAGTCCCCTGAGGCCCAAGGGGGAAGGAAAGGGGTCCCCTCAGGACAGTCGAGTGTGGCTGTTAGGGGTGCGGAGTCTGGAGCCAGCCTGCCTGGCTCCCCATCTCTGTGACCCTGGGCAAATCACTTAAGGTCTCCAGTTTTCTCCTCTCCAAATGGAGCTAAGAGCAGGCTGGTCTCCCAGGCTTAAGTGAGCGAGTGTGTGAAGTGAGTGTGTGAGGTACCGGAGGAGTGTGCCCCAGCCCAGAGGAGGCAGCGTGCATTTCAGCTGCTGGAGACTCACACCCACCCCAGGGGAGGCAGGAGCAGGCAGGGCAGGCGGCCCTGTGGCAGGCGGTATCTCTGCTGGCCCCTCTGGGGGCCTGAGACGGCCAGGCAGACGGGGGCTGAGCCAGCGGTGATGCAGGACTGGATGAGGGTCCGGACATGAGTCACAGGGGGCCCTCCTGGCACAGACCGGGAAGTGTGTGTGGAGTTGGCAAACTAGGGCCACTGCTGCTCCCATGGCACCCATGGCACCGGCACCCAGGGGCAGGCAGCCCCTCAACCAGCGCCGCCTCCCAACGGGCTGCCCAGCTCGGTGGCTTCAGAGCAGCCAGGGCAAACTCAGACCCCGTGTCCCCTGAGGGTGTCCTTTCAAACAGTGGCATCTTTTATCATCATCACCACATCACCATCACTGCCTACCATTTATTGGGAGCTTGTTATGTATCAGGCACTGTTCTAAGCTCTTTACCTTCACTAAGTAATTCACTTCTCCCCTCAGCGCTGTGAGAGAGCAGCCGTTATTTTCAATGCTGTTTTAAGATGAGGAAAGGGTTTTGCTGGACGTTCGGACCAAAGGTCACCTGTCCCTGCGGGTCATTAGGAGGCTGCCGCCAGCCTCTGGAGGAAGACCAGCGCCCGGGGGGGGGGGGGGGGCGGCAGGAGACACCGCTAAGCCCCGTGTGACCTGGACCAGCCTCCCCCGGCCCTGTGCCTCCTCCACTGCAGAGGAGGAGGCTAGATTCAGGGAGTCTGAGCTTCACGGCTACTCCCTCGGCTTTCGTCTGGATTGTTCTCGCTGACCACATCTCAGGGAGGGCAGTTCCCGGCCCCACCCCTCTCCTGGAGGCTGCCTTAAGCACTTGGATCCAAGGATGCCTGCTCTTACACACACACACACACACACACACACACACACACACACACACACAGTTCCACAGGGCCCCTCCAATCCTGAAGGCCTAGCTGGGGGGAGGGGTGACCATTTATTTTAGGTGTCAGACCAGAGAAGGACTGAACTCTGGGAGCCAGAGGGCTCCTCAGTCTGGGGCAACAGCAATGCTGAGACACCCCCATCTCCAATTCCCTTGGATCCTTACCTCACCGTGTCCCCACCCCTGGGCCCAGGGCCCAGAGAGCACTGCCCTGAAGTCACCCCCTCCGCCCTCCCTAAATCACCCTCTCTGCTCCCCCCCTCCAGCCCCACCCCACACACACAGTGCTGGGCCTGGCCCTGACCCCACTGACCTCTCCCCTCCCCCATACACAGCGTTGGAGCCTTTATCTCAGTGGTTCTCAACCTTCCTAATGCCGCGACCCTTTAATGCAGTTCCTCATGTTGTGGTGACCCCCAATTTCATTGTTACACATTGAACATAATTAAA